TTTATATTAATTACGGAGCGTTGATACTTATTCATTAATATCTTCGAACATGTCATGTTTTACCCATGTTGGTGTTTTCAATATTTGTCCTCTTCCGATGACATACAACGGTGTCAAGTCCGTTTGATTCAGAACAAGAACATCGGCATCATAACCTTCAGCCAAAAAGCCTTTGCCTTTCAAATTGAGGTATGTTGCTGGATTTGATGTTGAAAATTGGATCGCTTCTTCGATAGGCCATGAATATTTCAATACTAAATTTTGTATTGTTTTCAAAGTTACATCTGGAAGACCCATGCTATAGGACACTAAGCGACCCGAAGAATCGTATTCAGGCAATGATCTAAATGAGAAATCAAGTTTTGTTTTCAAGATTAAGTTCAAGTTCAGCTATGAACTAGTAAACCAATTCATATTGCCTAGAGCATACCATTAAATTTTCTATTACTTCAAGATGCACTTAAGAAATTATTGGAAAAAACTTAAACATTCTCCAGAGAGTCAGATGTATGTACAACATGCTTTGAAAAGTTCACTCTTTTACCTTTACAGTCGATTCATATCGTATCGAAAACAAGAGGAAAGTTAAGATAACACTTATTTCTAATGAATACAAGCAAATTTGCATTCTCTGTCATAATAACATATACTCTAGCATAAATTGGTATTCATACCCGTAAGCATCACTGGATACTGTAATTTGTTTCAATGGTAAGTTCTCTGCTCGAAACTTATTCAACGTATTGATTGTTTCTGTTTCATTGAGCGTTTCGGCATCAGCAGTAAAATCACACATGCCACCGGCTTTGATCCATTTTCTGGCTTCTTCAATCAGAGCATCTCCACGTGATGAAACATGAGTCAAATACATGTGTTGAATTGGAATGACTGTTTCTTTTAAAATTTGCCAAAGCAAATCGATTTTTGTTGGAGCTGAACCCATATGAAAGTGAATTACACCTGGTTTTCCACTAAGCATTCCAGCGACTCGTGCATCACTAAGTAGTTGTTCAAGTTCAGATTTTGATGGCCAACTTGATCTATGATCACTGAGCGCTAACTCACCAGCTCCTAAGACTTTATCAATGAAGAGTAAATCTTTTTCAAGTGATCCAGTGAGTGTAACGATTGGAATACGATAACTACCAGTCCACATCCAGGTCGAAAGACCATCATGTTCCAGACTCTGGAACACAAGAATGATTCAAAAACTAAGAAAAAAAAGAAGTGTTCGATCCTGGTTATGGAAATCGTGCTGCTCACAACTTTCGTCATACTAAACAGAATTGTGCTAATGCTATCGGTATGAATATTTTTATTTTACTCAAAAAAGACATCTTGTATATAGAGAAATTTCTTTGATCGATTTCAACTCTTTCTAATATTGAGAGTTATTGATATAAAGAACTTACTTTCATTTTTTGTAATAACGCTGATAGACTAAAACAAAAGACAATAGTATAATATTATATAGTCTTGAAATTCTTCCAAAATCTTTCAAAACTTAAAGACTGCCTTATGAAGCTATGTTGAAGACGAAATCTCTGATTGGATGATCACGAGCCTTGAATATGTCACATATTTTTATTTTGTTCTATGCAGCAACGATCAGAAAATAAGATAAGACATTATCATGGCATCCGAAATATCCTCTAGACGAATGATAACATTTCTTAGCATTCACTAGATAATTATATACGTTGAAGAACATGTCTCATTAAAAGAAATTTTTATATGATGACTTAGATGAAACAAATTCTTTCCTGATGCTTGATTAGACAATACGTTGTTGATCTCTTCTAAAACATGTCATTGATAAAATTAAATACTTTTACAATTTCTTAGAGTATGCAATACCATGAATTATGATTTTATTGAATTAGTGTCATACATGCATCGAGCATCATGACTGCAAAGCAATCAGAAAGCAAGATCTTCACTAGACTAACCTTCTCGTAATACCATCGGTTCCTAGTATTCCAACAATTGTTGTTAATCCACCTCTTATCAATTGAGATAAACGGCTCTCAGGAGTTCGAGAATACGGACCTGAAAAGAAAATAAACGCCAGAAGTCGTTGGTATCTTTCAAAAAGCCAAAGTCAAACATGACTCTAACTATAGAACGTATCCATTGGCAATAATAATAAGCCTTAATTATTCCTACGATAGTATTACGATTTCAGAATTTTGTTTTTGAGTTCCGAATCTGTACTGTTTCAAAAAATATGACAATATCAAGTCAATCAACAAACCTTGTTCTCCACCACCTCCGATGGCATGAACATGTACATCGATGAGTCCTGGCATAACAATTTGATCCTGGACAGAAATAGGGAGAATAGTCAACTGGCTATCTCGCATGGAATTAATGAATGCAGCCGTTTTCGATGGTTCCATCATGCTCAATATTTTACCACCTGCAATGACTACGTCTTTTCTTTGAGGCATGCATAAATCTTTTGTTTCTGTATTGGTTTCAGCCGGAATCCCATAAACTTGCCCGCCGGTTAGAACAATGATTTGATAGGAATCGTTAAAAGGAGGTGGCGGTTGAAGACGACTGGAAGCATCATGAGTTTGGCGAAACGACTGAAAAAAAGAAGTACAACATAAATATTGGATTCAATAGATTTCTTTTCAAAATTCCAGAAAACACTTCAAAAAAAATAATAAAGAAAAGAATACCGAATATATCATATTTTATTATTGAGACGTTTCGATAACAACTGTTGACTTCGTCAGTCAAAATAAAATGAAGTTCCATGAAAAAAGAACAAAGAAGAAGAAAAAAAAGAAGTAATAAAATAATAAAACGTTTTATTATCTTATTATTTCGTTTTTTTTTGTCTGTTTCTCTCGTCTAATTATAACAAAGTCCTCATACTATATATGTAATTGTTCTTTTTTCATGAAACTTCATTTTATTTTGACTGACGAAGTTAACAGTTGTTGTCGAAACGTCTTCATAATAAAATATGATATATTTGATATTCTTTTCTTTAGTATTTATTGTTAAATATATTTACCGAATTAAAATAAATAATAATTACTCACTTTAAAAAATATTGTGAAACTTTCCGACTGAACAAATCAACAACATAATTATCAATCTAATTGACTTTATATTTGCAAGTAGCCACAACAGCCAACGATTTCTTCTGACCATTGTAAGAAAAACGTAACTGATAATAAGTGTATTCCTCAGAGAAAAATTAAATTCTATTCGTGAACAATCAGAATACTGGCATCGATCGAAGCTGCTAGTCTCGACGAAGATCAGTGACTAATGAATGGTTACGATAACAGGTTTTTATATAGGAACAGTCTCGTACATAGAAATCTAAGTTGAAACGCAAATGAACAAACTTTTCTTTAATATTTTACAACAAATGGTATTTCAGTTCAATGTCGAAACTCGAATGCATTTCTCGCAATGCATGAAGATAGATTAATGAAAAAATAGTTCCAGAACAACTCTCTCACATGCTGTAAGAAACAACTAGATTTTGTCTTCTTTTCGTATCTCGTTTCGATCAAATTATTCTTATTTTTCTGAAGACGATATTCTATGTTTTTACAATAGCAAGACAGATTTTTCTATCATGTGAATTCGCACTGTGATTTTCATCAGAGTGGTTATATCACTTAGAGTTTTAACATCACTTCTTCGCTCTTATTTGTGTTGCATGTCAATTTCTAAAATGATTGTAGCACCGAGGACTCGTTTACTTCATGTAGTGGACATCAATTTGAAAGAAATTCGAGACAAGAAGCTATTTCATTCAAGACATTCTGAAGATGATTACTGCCTATTTCTTCATTACAATAACTTTCAACAGATTTCTTTTATTGTTTTCTCAGATGTTGAAACAAATTTGAACAGATGATTTAACTTACTTTATTATATTGACTTTGCATTGAACCAAAAAGTAGGGTGAATGTCAAAAAATAAAGAATATTTTTCATAATACTATTGCTGAAAACACGAAAAATGCCTCGATGATGCTGATATACTTCTCTTTATAGAACTAAAAATTATAGAGACAGAACTTTATATGATCAAGTTAGGTAAATATTTGATAATGTATGTATACAGATTACTGCGATATGAAAAGTATAGCTTTATCTGACACTTATCAAAGAGAAAAAAAATGTAAAGTTCATGTCAACTCGTGCAAGAGCAATCTAATGTCTTTTATAGTCAATTCATGCTTACATCCCTTCGTTTATCACCACTTGTTAATTCGTCAACGATAAACTTTATTTCTATTTTATTAGAAGAAAAATAAATTTACATCTTCCCACATGATCTCATATATATATATGTTACGGTCAAAATTGGAATCCAAATTTTGACTGGACAAAATTAGAATTTTATTTTGATGAATTATAAGACTAAGCAAAAATCAATACCTAAAACACGAATGAGGTCAAGGATGGTGATGAGAGTCAGGAAGAAGGTTTTAAGTAAGATCGTCGCGGGTAGCCTTGTGATGGTGACAAATATCTTAGTAAGGATGAATTTTTGAGTAAGACTAACATTTTACACGATTATTCACTCTAATTTCACTCGCAACCTCAGGATATAGACTCAGACCTGTCTCTCGTCTTCACCATCATTTTTGATTTTACTCGTATTCGTAGTGTTGCTTTTTTTCTCAGTTTCACAGTTCATGAAAACAAAATTCTGATTTTGTCTGGTCAAAATTAGAATTCCAATTTTGACTGTAACATATATATACGTATTTTAGAAAGAGAATAAATAGAATAAAGAAACAAACGATAACAACATATGAGATGAGAAGAGAAAAGAAAAAATGAATCGAGGATTATGATAATGTGATATGACCTATAACAGTTGTTGCTTTTATTTTGGATATGTGTCTGCATATATTAAAGATAATGTATGAAACTAAACGAGATCTTTCGATAGAATCAAATATGAAATTAAGCATCTTAGATCCTATTTGATTTATTTATGAACAAACTTCATCATATATATCATAATTCATTATTATTATTCCAATAATATTAACGATAATAGACTTGATGATGCATCATCATCATCAATGCTTGTTGTAAAAATACTAGTTACTAGTCAATTAAAATATTTTCTTACTATATCTGATTCAATATTAAAGGTTCTAATGATGATAATATTGCTACTACATCAATTGATATTGATAATCTAAATTAGTTTTAAATATGAATTTGCATTTCGAATATTTGAATTATTATTATTATTGTAACCTATTTCAATTTGATCATTATTATTAATTTGGTTTTTTCTTTTTTTGATAATTTTTCTTGTTGATATTTTTAGTAGTGTTTTTAATTGTAATTGGATAAAGTTAATTTTCTTTTTCCTTTTGCAAGATACTCTAATTATAAAAATTCTTTCATTGATGAAGAAAGGTATTTATATTTTATCTCATGTTACACGTAGATTTGCTAAATGCTTTGATAAGTATAAGAGACTGGAAGTTCAACAAAAAAAATGTCTAGTATGACTTTCTGGTTGAATTTGAACAATAAATGGTAAACTCGACGATTTTCACAAGAACTTATTAATAAAGAGTATTTTTACTCGATATTTTGCTAGAAAGAAAGACGAATGATACTGAAAATTCGGTTTTATTTCTGAATTTACGACCAGATTTGAATTAATTTATTAAAAAAATTCAAACATTTCCACTGAAAGTCTAACAATTGTTAAATTTATGGCTAAAAAACGACTCTATTTCTTTACCTGATTGACAACACTCGTTAGACCATGAGACAAAAAATAATCATCTCAGATGATGCTTTCTTCATGAGATAGACTAACTCAATTCATCGATTTGTTTGTCCAAATCTTATCAATATTCGATTATGTATCTAATACAAATGTTTTTTTTTGATGCTCTTGACAAATGAATAGACTCGTTAATTTCTCTCATGTTATACTTAGGATTGTTTTCTAATAGATTGATAAAAGAATGAAGAAAGAAAAACGAAGGTTTTATCATATATATTGTTTCTATGAATAATTAGTTATAACGTACAGAGTATCCGAATGAAAATGAAACGTAAATACTTTTTTATCATTTTAATCAATTGATATAAAATTTTCATGATTTTATCGGTACTTAAAAAAAAAGAAAATTTATTACATCGAGTTTTCTTGAAAATCATGTTATTTTCTTTTTGTCGATTCTGATTTTTGACTAAGCCTAAGTATTAGTAAGCATCTTATTGAATTAACATCATCAAATCTCAATAGACTTTTTACAATTAAGATGAACTCTATCGAATATTTTATCCATTAACGTTATAGAGTTTTCATAACATCAAATAATGAGGAAGTCATGTAAATCGTTTGATTTATTCAATAAATTTTCGTGTTTATTTTTCATTTGAATTTTGAAAATATTTCCTATACGTACTAGATCATTACAATAATATTTCCATATGCTTAATACCAATTCTTTAAATAATACAAATTAAATTTCAATACAAAACAAATTTTTTTTTTATCTTTATTATCATGCGAAGTAGTACAAAAAAAGAAAAAAATTTAAAAATATTATTAAAAGTTATATTTTTCAATTTTGTTATTTAAGTAAATAACAAAAAAAATTTTCTAAATAAAGTCATATGGAAGTAGTTTGCAAAAATAAAATAAATTAATATTCATTCCGAAATATTAAAAAAACGAACATTTGGTTGCCATGGAAATGGACATTTTATTATGTCAACTTCTAAATCATATTTTCGACCTGTTCGTTCATTAGTTAAACTTATCATTTCTCGATCACAATTCATAGTAAGCATAAATATATCACCTGTTTTAATATCACTTTTATATCCATGATAATTAGGTTGTGGATTACCAGCTCGATAAACAATATTATTTCCTGTCCATCCATAAAGTGTTGAATTTTCATATGGATTTGTTCCGTCAAATATATTTTTTGATGTAATTCCAAATAAAATTGAACTATTTAATTCATATTGATCAATCTTAAATCGAATTGAATGTTCACCTGTTGAATATTCATTTTTTTCTTTAAAATATAAATAATCTTCATATTGATCGTCAGTACTATTATTATCATAATTTGTTTCATATTGAATTTCATTTATTGGTACTACAAAATTATCAGTAGATAAATCATGAAGTGAAATTTTTGAAATAAATGGTGTTGAATTTTTATCATGTTGAATTTTAACTTTTTGTTGTTTAGTAAGAAGTTGTTGAAATTTATTAAGTTTTTCTGACCATTCTTTTATCTCACTTTCAAAAAATTCACCATCATAACGTGCTT